GGCGTGAGGGAGACCCTGGCTCACGTTTACTTAGAGTGTGCCAGGTTGCAGCCCCTACACCGGCTCCTCACCGACATTATGTTACGTTTTTGGTTACACTTTTCCCCTCACCTTCTCATTTATGCACTCCCTATCCGTGGCCCCACAAAGTCGCGGGACCTCCTGGTCAACTTCCTCTTGGCACTGGCTAAACAGGCCATCTATAAAACCAGGGAGAGGAGGTTGGCCGATGGAGGTGCCTGTGACTGCGGGGCCTGTTTCCGATCCTCTGTCCGTTCACGTATCCGGGCAGAGTTCCTCTGGGCGGCATCCACTGGATCCCTTGACACCTTCGAGGAGCAGTGGGCGCTGTCCAGGGTTCTCTGCTCGGTGTCCCCGTCAGGTTCAAATCAACTATCAAGTGGTATTGGTCTCTCAGTGAAGAGTGTTACACAATAGTAGAGATATTTTACAGTAACTGGTGTGGGCTGACTATGATCAGTCATATTGCAAATACATAACTATGCCAGAACCTAACTGCGCTTTCAAGAATTGTAGCTTTTTTTTCCTGGCTAAGGGAACAAAGTATCAACAGAGAGTTTAATGTTAGATATCCCAACTGGGAGAACCTCTGCATGACTCTACCAGCAGGTTGTGAGGCCTGGTTTGCACTACACAATTAGGTCCTCCTAAGGCAGCTTATGTCGACCTAATTATGGCAGTGTACACACTAGAGCCTTGTCCCACCCATGTAAGTGCCCTGCTACACTGACACAATAACTCCACCTCCATGAGAGAAGTAGGGTTTATGTCAATGTAGTTAGGGGGCAGCAGTGTCTGTGTACACACTGTTTTACTTACATCCACAGTTGGCTGTCTTGTCTATTTCACAGCTCCATGCTGGAGCTATGAAATTGACAAGAAACCCTGGCTCCCTACTCTCAATCTGGCTGCTGCCTGGAGGCTCCCCACTCAGGTAGCCATGAAGCTGGGGAGGCTGCCCTCCTGTTCCTAGCCTGGAGCAGGGAGCCAAGAGCCTGGGTGGGGGGCAAGTGGGCTCCCAGCGGGGAGCTGATCTCTGTCCCCCACACTGCCCCTCTTTAGTGTGTGGAAGCACTCCTAGTGAGGACACGCACCTCCAACAGAAGGAGGGTTGTGTGGACATCAGCCACCGCAGTAATTACTTAAATAGATTTAAGTCTATAGTGTAGACATGCCTTCAGTCCCATCGCCCAGGCTTCCACCGCCCTAGAAATCCACTGATTTCCCTGGAGTGGTTCGCGGCTTTACACCATTGTCAAGGAGCCCCAGACCCCGGTTCCTTCCCCCGATGAGGGATTCGCTGCAGGCCCGTCTCCACATTGCAATGGGAATTAGGATACTCTGCATCCCCCCCATAACCGTCGGGGTGTAGGGGAGGCGATGGGCTTTAGACGGCGATTTCCAGCTTTCATACAACGAGACGTGGAGACAGACCTAGGAACTGAAATGCCCGGGCGAGGGGCGCAGGCTGAGGCCCCGTATAGCGCGTGTGGGGCTGAGGCAGAGGCGGCGGCGGCTTTTCCCGTCCCGGCAACCTCGCGGCGGCTGGTTCCAGGGCCTGGAAAGCGGGGCTGGGCGGGGACACGAGCGACGCGGCCTGGGGGGCTCCCGCACGGCCCCGGCAGGGAGGGGCGGGACTGTGGGAGCCCGGACCGCCCCTGTCCTCATCAGCCGCGGCCTCCGCCCCCCTCGCTTCAGTCGCCATGAGCGGATCCAGCAGGGCCCTGGGGGGCTTCGGCCTCCTCCCGCCGCTGCCCCAGTCCCGGGCCGCCTGGCTCGGCGCCGCCGGCGCGCTGGCCCTGGCCGCCCTGCTGGGGGCCGCGGTGTGGCGCTGGGCCGGGCGGCGGGCGGGCAGCGCCCGGCTGCAGCGGGTGGGGACGGTGTCCGGCCTCTTCCTCTACCCGGTGAAGTCCTGCCGGGGGATGGCCCTGCAGCGGGCCGAGGTGACGGCGCTGGGGCTGCGCAGCGGGGAGATGCGGGACAGGTACCGCCGAGGGGGGGCTGCGGGAGAGCGAGCGCCTTGCTGCAAAGCCCGCGGGCGGGGCACGGCTTCGCTTCGCCCTGGGGGTCCGGCTACAGGCTGGTTCTCGTCCCCTTTGGGCTGGTCTCCAGGCCCGTTAGAACCATCCCGCTCGGGCAGTGTCGCCCTGCCCATAACCCCTTGTCTGCCCGCTTAGCCTCCGCCGTCCCCTGCAGGCGAAGGGCAACAGGTTGTTCGGCCTGAGAAGTTAACTCTAGCCACTAGATGGTGGGATCTGAGTTACTACAGCGAATTATTGCCTGGGTGACTGGCTGGTGAGTCTTGCCCACATGCTCAGGGTTTAGTTGATCACCATATTTGGGGTCGGGAAGGAATTTTCCTCCAGGGCAGATTGGCAAAGGTCCTGGGGTTTTTTCACCTTCCTCTGCAGCATGGGGCACGGTTCACTTGCTGGAGGATTCTCTGCACCTTGAAGTCTTTAAACCACAAGTTGAGGACTTCAGTAGCTCAGACATATGTCAGGGGTTTGTTCCAGGAGAGGGTGGGTGAGATTCTGTGGCCTGCATTGTGCAGGAGGTCAGACTAGATGATCATAATGGTCCTTTCTGACCGTCAAGTTTAAAGTTTAACCCGTTTCAAGGGCCCCTGCAAGGTGAAGTGGGCAGTTAACCCCCTATTGTGCCAGGGGGAGGCCCTTTCCCTGACTAGAAAAAGAGCTCTGTCTGTGTAGCTCTAATGCTTCTCTCTCTCTCACCAGCAGATGTTGGTCCAATAAAAGATATTCCCTCACCTACCTGGTCTCTCTGATTCACCTAAGGTCATCTAGACTAAAACTCAAGATGCACCTGTCTGCTAACTCATGTTTAAGGCTGCGATTTTGTCATGGACATTTTTAGTAAAAGTTGAGGACAGGTCATGGGCAATTAACACAAATTCAGGGAAGCTGTGACTTGCCCCTGACTTTTACTAAAATGTCCACGACAAAATGGGCAGGGAGGAGAGTCGAGTACCCTGCCGTGCTGTGGCTGGGAGGGACCCGCAGCTGGGCAGCTCCGGGGGATTTCCCCACTAGCAGCGGCAGCTGAGGATTTGCTGGGGATACCCCCTCATGCTGCTGCCCATGGTGGCTAGGGAGCTCTGGGGGTCCCCAGCACCCATGGACTGGGGAGCTCTGGGGGATCCCCTGCCACCCACGGCAGCTGAGGAGCTGCTGGGGATCCCCCACCACCCACAATGGCTGGTGAGCTGTCAGGGGTTTTCCCCCACCCTTCCCCGGGGTGGCTGGGGGGCTGCTGGGGACCCCCGCCCCTGTTGCAGCTGGGGGCTGCTGGGGACCCCCGCCACTTTGGGCAGCAGGGGTTCTCAGCCACCATGGGAGGTGGGGGTACCTGCAGCTCCCAGCTGCTGCGGGCTGAAGTCACACAGGTCTGCAGAAGTCACGGATTCTGTGACTTCTGCACCATGACCAAATCATAGCCTTACTTATGTTTAGCCTCTAGAAGTGAGAATTTCCATAAATATCCTGTATATACCTGCACTGCTTGGATTCACAAGTTTGTTAGTTGCACTGCAGCAAGAAAGCTTTAAGTTAAAAAAATAAAGCTTATTAGTTTTAGTAATAGTCTCTTTAATGAGAGACATCTGTGTGTTGTGTAAGGGCATAAAAGGGAGGGAAATCAGACTTATTAAGGAAAAACCTGAGTAGTTATGATATGAAGATAATTTCTAAGCTCTGTGCATCAGGAAATCTCTCGCTTTGCACTCCAGTGCCTTGATCATTGATGGTGCTGTGTAAAATGTTTAATGTATTTTGTTCCCTTTTAAACTACAGGTTTTGGCTTCTGATTAAAGAGGATGGACATATGGTTACTGCCCGACAGGAGCCTCAGCTGGTCCTGGTATCTGTAAACTGTGAAAATGGCTATTTAACGTTGAATGCTCCAGAAATGAAGGAACTGCGTGTTCCAGTCAAACTTTCCAGGAAGAATGCAGTGCACAATTGCAGGTATTAGAGGAAGATTTTTCTTTTTGAAGTACTAACTTCAATTTAATATGCTTTTCTTTCAGTTTTACAAAGAAAGTGTAACATATCTTAATGGGCTTGATGCAGGAATTAGTGGGTGAAATTCTATGGTCTGTGTTATGCAAGAGGTCAGGCAATGTTATCGTAATGGTCCCTTCTGGCCTTAATTTTTTAATAAGTCCACTTACTATTGAAGTCAAATTTTAGGAGATGACATCAAGGTTATCAGAGATTATACACTATAGCTACCAAATTACCCATGCATATTTACTGTCTGTTCTGCATTTAGCTGGGCTGGGTGCTTGCATTTGAAAATCTTGGTCATGTATGTAGCTATTTCTTGATTTCCAATAAGCAAATTCTGTGTGATGTGCATCATCGCATAGAATTGGTAAATTGGAATGTGTGACATTAGGTATTTTACCTGTACTGAAATCTACCTTGGAAAATGGCCAGTGCCTAGCAGAAAAGGTAAGAACACTTTTTCCCTGTTAAAATGTCAGTTATATTTAAGAATATTGGGGCAGCTCTAAATGTTGGTAACCTACCTGAGTGTGGTGCTGTGGGCTTCTCCCTTGGATAGCAGCAGGAGTGCTGCCAGCTTTTCTGCCTCCCTAGGCGGCAGAAGGTCCCGCCCCAAAATGCTGCCCCCCACAGAGGCGGCGGAAGGTCCCCAAATTGTAGCGCCCTAGGTGACCACCTAGGTTGCCTAATGGGTTGTGCTGGCCCTGGATAGCAGAAGACATTAGAGTACCAATTCTTCTAGCTGCTGGAGTTGAGAATAAAGCAGCTTTATAAGGAACTATAGTTGCCAGCTCTATCTGTAAATTGTTGCTATGGAAACTACTGTTAACGAATGTAGTTCAGTTTTTTTCTTTTTAATTTACATAAGATTAATATAAATTGACGATGCTGTTTATGATGGAAAGCTTGGGGGGGAAATAGCATTATCTTTTAAAAATCTGTCTAGTATGTATATAAGATCTGATTCACAATATTTCACTTTTCAGAGATAATGTCTTTAAAAAAAATGTTTGTAGCCCCTCCTCTGTGCTATGATTCAAGCACCTTCTATTTGGTACTTGCTATCACTGATATTTGGAGTGGCGTATGCCCTTTCCTTCCAGGGCTAGGTTCTTTTCTGGTGCCTGGTACCTCCATCCAAGGTGACTCATTGCTGTGCTGTTCTTTGAGAGAATTAAATGATAATGCTAGCTGGCAAGAAGTATAAAGCCCACTACACAAGGGACAATAAAGCAAACAAACTCAAACCCTTGCAAAGGATTGACCCATCCAAAATAACAGCATAGCAAAGGGGGACTTTATTGGATACAGGAAAATAAGATCTGGGGAAGGAAGGGACTAAGGTTATATTATAAGTAATAAATAAACCAGTCCTTAACATGTCAACACTCACAACTCATCCTAACCCCTGACTCCATCCCTGGCACCTTCTCAGGCAAATTGTACATTAAGGCTGAGTCCTGAGATGGAGTGTTGCAGTGCTATGTTTTTGGACAGTTTAAACAAAGAAGCCTTCTTACTCTATCTCCTCCCCAGGGCTGCGGGGGCAGGGTCCTCTCCTGCCTTCTACCAGGCTTGCTGATTATGTGAAAAAGTAGCCCCAAAATCACTAGCCACCACCATTGGGCTTCTTTGGAATCTCCTGTGGGCTTCTTGTGTCCACCCAGCTGGGAAATTTCTGTGCTGGGAGACCCCAGCCCTGCAGCCTGAAATAGCGGAAGGGAGGTGGAGCTGCTGGCAGTGGAGGGTGAAGGGCAAAGAGCTAGGGCTGTGAAACAGATGGATCTGCAACTCCCCTCCTCCCTTGGCAGGCAGCCTGCCTTGGGAAAGCCTGTGACAGTGCCAAGCAGGTCTTCCTTGTGGTGGGGCTTGGAGCTGGAGACTCTAGGGTAGCAACCGGAGAGGTAAGTTACTAAGTAACCTCCCTCGGGACTGCACTGGGACAAAGGGTGGCCCTAGAGCTTCTTGGGCTGGGGGAGAGGGGCCCCATAGGTTTGTTTCCTTGCCCTGATGGAGAGAAGAGCTCTCCATAGATTCCTGTCCCTCTGTGCAGTCTCTCCATCCAAGACTCTCACCAGGGCTCATGCTATGCTCCCCATGTGAACTTACCGCAGCTCCCAGGAAGCGGCCACCAGGTCCCTGCAGCCCCATGGCACATGGGCGACCAGGGAGGCTCCGAGCCCTGCCCTCGCGCCCGCAGGTGCCGCGCCCGCAGCTCCCATTGGTCATGGGCCCCAGCTGTGTCACTGACTGGACTTTTAGTGGCCCAGTCGGCGGTGCTGACCAGTCAAAAACTGGACGCCTGGCAGTCCTAACTGCTGTAGAGCTACGGCTCCCTGTGGGGAGGGGATTCTTGCAGGGACTCCGGGAGTGGCTCCCACAGTTAATTGTGAAAACTGAAACTAAAACAGGCTGTGCAATGTTGGGGGCTGTGCAGCTTTGGCTGGTCATTTGTCTAGCTCACCCCATGCACAAGCCTCCCTATTTGCCTCAGCAGGAGTTTCTGATTCCTTCTGTCCCCACCCCTTACTCCACGCAGGCTGAGAAATGGTGTCAGAGGGCTCTGGTAGCCATGATAGTTATAGCCCTGTTGGTAGGGCCACCTAGAGGCTCAGTATGGAGCTCCAAGAGCTGGCAAACTCAGCTCTTGGAGCTCCATACATGTTATTTTCTGAAACTTGATAGTGACATTAGATAGAGATGATTTAAAATATCTGAGCTGCGTAAGTCAAAATTATAAACATAAGCAATTCTGTTGCATTTTTCACTTGTAGATCTCAGTGCTTTTTAAAGGTATCATCCTTATGTTACAAGTACTGAAAACTGAATCACGGAGAAGGTGATTTATCAAAGGTAAAATTGTGAGCCACTTGTAGAGATGGAAACAGAACTTAGGTCTCATGACTCCCAATTAGAAATTAGACTAATTTGTTTTTCCCTCTTTTCCCAGTTAAGAGCTCCCGTACATAGCTTCCCAAATATTAGATTTGGGGAATCCAAATTCTGTCTAATGTTGATTTGTGCAACAGGACTGTTTAAAAATTGCTAACTTGGATAGTGTGGTGTTGTAGGTACCTATAAAACACTGTTTTCAGTTGCAAATAACTTACCTGAATTGTTCCATCCAGGTGTCTACCTAAACTTGAATCTTTCTGAATGGTTCAGCCATTTCCAAGAACAAGATTAGGGGAAGTTGCATTGTTTTGTCTGTTAAAAGTTCTTACAGCTGTATTGCTGAGAAGTTATAGGCCTCCATGATTTGTAACAGGGACTTAAATTTGGCAGGCAGGCTTTTGTATCAGAAATGTGCCTTTTGCTATTACCATGAAAAAATGCCTAATTTTGGCTAAATTTAAGTTTTTGAAAAATCTCAGATTATGTATGTCCAGAGTTTGGCAGCTAACTTCTCCGAAGATTCCAGATGCATGTGTGTGCTTCATTCTCCTCACAGATCATATGTGCCGACTGGACTGCACATGTGCCATCCCCACCGAGTGACTGAGCATACTCTATCCCTGAGGATTGAGCAGGGCTTCTGCAATTGCTTCTCCCAGGTGCCAGGGACCACTGTGGCACTGAGTACCAGAACTGAGAGCAGAGAAACGCTCTCTTCTGTCCTCTCTGTGTTTTCCCCTCCTGGCAGTGTGGAGGAGAGGGAGAAAGTTGACTGACTTGTATGTAGAGGGTTGAGGAATGGAGGGGGTGTCAAGACATTCAAGGTGAGGGGAGAGGCTTGGAAGCTAAGGGAGGGGAGTTAAGAACAAAACTGGGGAGGGAAGAAGAGGAGTAGGGGCAGGAGCAGGGGAGTGTGCAAGAATAGGAACAAGAATCGGGCGTGAGTGCAGGAGCTGGGGATGGGAGAGGATAGACTCAGAGGGTCTGGGAAAATGGCAGGAGTCATGGGTCACAACATGGGTGGGGAGAGGAGCAGAAGGAAGGAAATAAGGGCAGGCCCTGGGCTGGGGAAAGAGCCAGGGTGGGAATAGCGGAGGGGGCAGGTAGGAGGTGAAGGGGATGGGGAGAGTCTGCAGAGGAGAGCGGTATGTAACTACTAGAGAACACTTCCCTACAGAACATGGAATTGAACCTATTATTCCTGAGTCTCAGTAGCCCTCTGCTGTCAGTTAGTACCTGTGAAACTCATTGGCAAAGTGTGTCTTCAACCCTTTCTCATGGCAGGTCTGCACAGAGACTACTGCTGCTAGTTATTCCAGTAGTAGAGGACTCCATGTCAGGACTCCGTCAAATGTCATGTAATGGAAAATTTTTTTTTTCAATTTTTAATTATTATTATTATTTTTTTTTAGAAAATTAAGAAATTGTGTAAAAATACATTAAAAGAATGTTAAGTTTGCTAAGTCAAACCCGCCAGAATTAAGGATGCCTGTGCTACTCCTAATTCTGCCCCAAATCATTAGTTAATTTTGAAAATCTTGTCCTGCTTTTAAGGCTGGAAAGTCATACTGTAGAAAATTGAAATAACTTTTTAATGAAAATAAGCCAACAATTTAAAAAGAAAAAACCCCACCTTCTCCGGAGTGCAGATATGGCCAGTGACAAATGCAGTCAGTAGAAAAAACGTAAATACTTGAGAATAACTTCCACTTTCTTATGGCCTTCGGAGTACTCGCTATAGAGGTAAAGGAAGCTGCACTGCATATAAATTAACAGGACCATTTTAGAGGTAATAATGCAACTAATAGTGACTGGCCTTGAATTTTTTTGGGGGGAAATTATTGCTCTGTAGTTGGAAAAAGATCCCTCTCATAAGCAATATTTATATCCTGCTGTTGGTAGCTTTTGCCACCCACATGGAATTAGTCTGCATGTTAAATCCTCAACTCCAGTTGATATAGTGAATATCTCATGTTGAGGATCACAACTTGAACACGAGTCAGCAAAGCAATGCTGTTGCAAAAAAAGCAAATGCCATGTTAGGTTGCATTAACAGAGGCATAGCAAGCAAGTCACGTAGTACCGCTCTACTCAGCACTGGTTAGGCCTCAGCTGGAGTACTGTGTCCAATTTTGGTCATAAATGTATGGAAAGGATGGAGAGAAACTGGAAAGGTTCCCTAGGTAAGTGACAAAAATGATCAAAGGGATGGAATGCAAATAATCTGAGCAAAGGCTGAAGGAACTGGGTATGTTTAGTTTGGAAAAGAGGAGATTAAGGGGGGATATCATAGCGGACTTCAGATAGTTGAAAGGCTGCCATGAAAAAGATGGAGAAAAGTTGTTCTCTTTTGCCACAGAGGGCAGGACAAGAGGCAGTGGGTTCAAACTACAGCATAGCAGATTTAGATTAAATCTCAGGGAAAACTTCCCAACTGTAAGAACAGTAGGACGATGGAACAGACTGCCTAGGGAGGTTGTGGATGCTTCTTCACTGGAAGTTTTCAGAAAGAGGCTTGACAGACATTTGTTTTAGAGGGTTTAGAGACAACAAATCCTGCATCTTGGCAGGGGGTGAGACTAGATGACCCTTGTGGTCTGTTCTGACCCTATGGTTCTGTGATTCTATCTCATTCCATAACTTGGGGCTTTGCACACATTTATAGTAGGGGGTACTTCAGAGAGACAAGTTTCATATATCACCCTATTTTTACCTCCCTGTGTCAGGGGAAAATGTTGGACTTACACAACCCTCCCGCAAAATGAGGGGTTATTTTATCAGGAACCGCAGGATCAAAGGACTCTAAATTTGTTTCACGCACTCTACTCTGGCTTCTGAACTGACAAGCCCATTCTCAAGCTGATTTGACTGAGTATGTGGATTTAAAACAAGGATGCAATATCCGTTTTAAACAGAAACCATCTTGCAGCCTTAACTATGGCCCTTAATAAAAAATGCTTAAGGAACAGAAAGACTGTCTTTAGCGGTGATAAAAGTGTCACCCAATATATTCTTTAGGTGGCATAATCTCTCATTTTTTGTTTAAATTCTCATGCCTCTAAAATTTGAGGCAACACTTCCTTAATCACAGGGGATGGGATTAACAAATGTTGATTGACCGTGACAGTGCTCTTGGAAACTGTCATTCACTTGCTTAAATTGATCAAATCTAAATTGGTATATCTTTTGGTAAAGGTTTTCTGTCTTTTCAAAATGAAAAATGGAGTAGAATTATACTTGGTATTATTGACACAAGTGTGTAGAATAAATCTCACTTTTTTTTCTTTTAAATCTAGCATGGCAAACGGATGTTGTGTATTACAGTACATGGTTGTGACAGTTAACTCAGCCTAACTTGTTCAGTCCTAATAGGTGGGAAATTCGATTACTGTATTTATCAGTACCACTGTTCTGGTTGACTGTCTGCAAGGAACTGGTGTTGCATGTACTGGATTTGTTTGGATTTTTTAAACATTTGCAGAGAATGTATTAGTGGGTCCAGAATTTAACTTTGAATTAGCCGGAATCCAAAAGTTCCATATTTAATCTCTTTATCGCCACTCAGAGAGCTCATTGACTAAATTTTTTTCTTTGTTTTATAAAAGCAAGATGTTTGATTTTGAATTGTAGAGATGAAAATAAGTCCACTTGAGTTCTCTGCTTTTAAACTAACTCACGCTTCTTTTAGGCTGTTTGGATTGGATATTCAAGGCAGGGACTGTGGAGATGAGGCAGCTCAGTGGTTCGCCACCTTCTTGAATACACAGTCATATCGACTGGTGCACTTTGAGTCACAGATGGTGCCTAGGAAATCCAGAGACATATTCACCACTTTCCGATCCACAGATGAGGTTAGATGAAAGTTTTCCTCGATAATCCTTTTCTGTGTGTGTCTTCCTTCCCACCCAACCCTCCTATTGTAATAGTTGTACATGCCTCCCCATAGAACATACTGAAGTACCTACTTCAAGCATATGAGCAGTCCCATGGGTTTCGGTGGGATTGTTTGCTTGCTTAAATTGTGTTTTAAATCAATTAAATTTATTGAACACGAAGAGCTACAGAATCTGAGGCTGACATTTTGACAAGAAGTGACCCAGCATGTGACTAAGGGGAACACCTGATGCACTTTAATGAATGAGAGATGCTGGAGTTTTTGAAGGCAGTTTATTGGTAAACTCAATGTGTACTGAAACTCCGTCTGCTGTCTCTATCCCCAGTTATGTGCAGCACTGTTCTAATATGAACTGTCATTATTGCTTTTTGTTTACAGATACTAGGCTGAGCCCTAAATCAGAGGTTTGTGCTTCCGCTGAGAAAAGCCCCCACAAAAGAGGGTTATGGCAGCACAAGGTGCCCACAATCCCCTCTCCCCTGGAGTGGGCCTGCAACCACTGCATTAGAAACAGGGTACAAGGGCAGGGAAGTCGGGTGATGTGCTAAATCAGTGCACTCCTGTGGCAGCCTCAGCTCCCTGGGGTCAGGGATCCAATGAACAGCTGCCCTTTCTCCTTCTCGTTCCCATCCTCCGCTTTACCTCCCCTAAGCAGAATCCTCAAGGGAGCAGGGTGTTGAAAACAGTATCTCTCCTTCTCCAGGTAAGAGTTCCCCATGGGGCATAGTTGGCTCTGGTAGTGCAGGGAGATGCAGATTGAGTATCCTGCCCTGCAACTGTGAGCGTTATTGTTTATTGAGCATCAGCATTTTACCTGGTGTTGCATAAACCGAAAACAAGTACAAGAAGTTATATTAAAATCTCTACTCTCTGTGTGCATCTTCTCGACAAGTAAATGAAGACTAATTAAGACCATTAAGACAATTTCAGTGAAGCACTCACTGAAACTGAAGATACTGTATGTATGTGGCTAAGCAAGGTGTTATTTTGGCAGATTCACGTACGCAGGGCGCATAGAGCGGTGGTGTTAGTGTTAATGTGAAGAACCGAGCAATGTAAACATTTCATTGCACATTTTCACTTGTTTGAGAGAGGGGAGGGCATAGACTACCTTTCATTTTACAGATTTTGTACAATGTGTGCAAGGAAAAAAGGATAGTTTGGGAGGGAAGGGAGACTTTCAGTGTGCACTGAAACTCTCCTGAAAACTGCCTTCAAAATCTTACACTTGTCCCATTTACTGATGTATGCAGAGGGAGTTTTCTTAAAGTATTATTCAGTGGCGCTTTTTGCCAAAGTGGCAGCCTCCATGGAGAAAAGTCAGTGCCATGAATGATCAATTGCAACTTAATTTTAATATTGTTTGTTGAGTAAATCTCTTCCCCAGGGTTTGTGATACAGTGGATTCAGTCTATCAGAAAATCTGTTTGTTATAGATTGAAAAAAGGAAATATTGAAAAACATAGTCAGTTTGCTATTTGTAAGACTGGGGACAGGAAAGGGAATGGTCTTTTTTTCTGACACTCCAGAGAAAGGCATCCCTAGGCAAAGAACTATAAATATGCAAATAAACTTCATGATGACCAAGGGGTGTGCAAAGGAGGGTTGTGAATTAGGCACTAGCCTCTCTGTGGGCTGAAAGAAACACTTGACTTGCAGAAAAAAAATTGGAAAAATAATAGTTCTGGACATTGTTTGTTTGTAATTAAATATGGGTCACCTTTTATATGAAAATTTCATTTATAAAATAGTAGTAAATGATTAATAGATGTTTAACAATCTCTAACCAATTAACCATTTTATAAGAGTCTGACAACTCAATGGGTTGCTTATAACCTTCTGTAATATCTTCTACTGATATCTGCAACATGTAACACTCGTGTCTGTAATATGCTTCTATCTATTATTTATCATTTATTAACCCTGTATAAACAACTTATAAATAGAAGTTTGTATTTGGTCAACTTTACTATTAATTTACGATGGCTACTATGCTGGGAAGGGACAAATTATTGCACTTCTCAAAATACTGCCCGAGTCATAAGAATGTGACTACAACAGCATAAGACTACATGGCTAAAATATGGCCATCAGTTCAGTTACCTGTTTCTTGGCCCGAAAGTTCTGCAGACCTTGTCTGTTGAGAAGCATGCTCTAGTGGGAGCATTAGGATTTGTTTGCCTTCATTTTTTTAGATTGCCTATCCCGACTGCAGCCCAGCCATGATCATCTCAGAAGCTTCATTGGAAGATCTAAATACGAGGCTGGAGAAGAAAGTTACAATACAGAACTTCAGACCAAATATTGTTGTTACGGGTTGCAGTGCTTTTGAGGAGGTAAGTGATCTACAGCAGTGGTTTTAAAACTTTTTTTCTGGGGACCCAGTTGAAGAAAATTGTTGACACCCACCACCAACGGAGCTGGGATGAGGGGTTTGGGATGTGGGAGGGGCTCAGGGCTGGGGCAGAAGTTTGGGGTGTGGGAGTGAGGGCTGCGGGGTAGGGCTGGGAATGAGGGATTCAGGGTGTGGGAGGGGGTGTGGGGAGGAGGTCAGGCCTCCGGGCTGGGGGTACAGGCTCTGGGGTGGGGCTGTGGATGAGGGGCTTGGGGTGCAGGAAGGGGTTTCAGGTTTTGGGGGGGCTCAGGGCTGGGGCAGGGGATTGGGGTGTGAGGTTGGGACACAGACTTACCTCCGGCAGCTCCCGGTCAGCGGCACAGCCAGGGTGCAGAGGCAGGCTTCCTGCCTGTCCTGGTACCGTGGACTGCGCTGCGCCCTGGAAGTGGCCAGCAGCACGTCCCGCTCCTAGGCAGAGGCACGGAAGCGGCTTCGGGTGACTCTCACCCACAGGCACCATCTGTTCATCCCCCCCAAGTTCCCAGTGGCAATTCCCAGCCAATGGGAGTGCGGAGCTGGTGCTTGGGGCAGGGGCAACGCGCGGAGCCCTGTGGCCCCACTGCCTAGAAGCCGGACCCACTGCTGCCCGCTTCCAGGGCGCAGCACGGTGTCGAAACAGGTAAGCCCTAGTCTGCCTTAGCTGGGCAGCACCGCCGACGGGACTTTTAATGTCCTGGTTGGCAGTGCTGACCAGAGCGACCCAGTGCCTGACATGCCGCAACCCAGTACTGGGTCGTGACCCGAAGTTTGAAAAACGCTGATCTACGGTACTTTAATTACTATTTGTTCTGAGTCTTGGATGTGTTCTTCAGAACCCTATTTCCTTGGGATATAGAGTCCAAAGAACATCTAAAGCCTTGGCTGTACTTGGGATTAGCTCTGATTCAGCCATCAATAGCTGGTGACTGGTGTAGCTGCAGTGGTGTAAACCCCAAATATAGATAAGGAAAGCAGCTATCTTGGGGTTTGCCCTGGCACATCTGGCCACCAGTAGCTGACTCCCAGGTACAAATAGAGCCTTAGAAATTCTACTATAAATGCGTGCAAAGTTTAAAGGGATATAATAGGTTTGTGGATATTAATTTATATTTATGCAACCTAGTGAAGGATAAAATGAATGTATTGAAAATGTGAGGCTGGGACTGCATGCTTGCCTTTAGGCCTCAAACAGGAAATGTTATGCACAGTATAAGACCTCTAATGATGGAGGAAAAAATATTTGGGAGTTGGTGAGAGATTTTATCACATTTTGCTTATAAATAAAAGCACGTCCTGATGGTCCGAGAGTACCATAACTGCTGCATATTTATTGGTTCTCTAACTTTAAACATTTAATTAGTGTAGATAAAACTGTGGATTTACATGGTGGAGCAGTGCAGATTTTACATGTTTGAGTTCACTCTGGAGAGTTGCTCTTTATGGGTTTGATTGTTTCTGAGGACCTAAAATTCCCATTGGAGGATTGTGCCTCTGTCTTCCAAGTAGGATTGCATAAGGAAGCTTCTGGGCTGAAAATTGAAGACTGACTTTGCTTGTTTTTATTGATAACATTTTGTGGAACTGTAGTTAACTTAAATTTTTTTAGATTAAATACAGAATTAATTATCAATTGTGAAATCAGAACAAACACACTTATGACTAGAAAATACATTCTGCAGAAGTCTTTTTTGGTTCTCCCTTTTTGTATTAACCTGCATTTTATGTTTGATAAATTACGTGTTTTTAATAAAAATCATGTATTGTGAACCTATAAGACAGGTACATTTTAAATGACCAGTCACCTTTTAGTGGAGTGTATCTGAGGCAATTTGGTAATTCATACAACTTACCCTGTAACTTTTGCAAAACTGATCACACTGCTTTGAGTAGATTAATATTCTGGTGTTGACGAATGCAGTGCTAACATGTTTTGTTAAAAATAACATATCTATTATAGCTCTTATTATGAGGATGCAAGAAAGCATAATGCTCCAAAATGATGCTTCGTCTTATAGTAATGGCCATGCTCAAAGCCAACTTCTGGGAAATAGTTAATGCAAATATTCTGAAAGTGTAATAATATATAAATGTTTACATTTCTCTTAGGATTCCTGGAATAAGATAAAAATTGGTAATGTGGAGATGAAAGGGACAATGGCTTGCCCCAGGTAAGGGTTTAGGAATATACTTGAAGGAAAAATAAATATTAAGTAGCTGCTGTTGTCTAACATTGTCTATCATTACAGGTGTATTTTAACAACCATTGATATGGAAACTGGGATCATTGACAGAAAGGAGCCACTGGAAACACTGAAAAGGTAGCAAAAATAGTAGTGTCTCATCTTGTATTTAGCAGTTATTTAAAAAAAAAAAGGGCATTTGAAATGTGTGCTACATGGACTCTAACAGCCTCTTAAATTGCAAACTTTGGGTTCAGTCCTTGCCTATGCACTATATTGAAAAGAGGACTCATTAAGACTCTCCTTCTCCCGTTTCCTATATATAGGATTCCTTGGTCCTCTCTTCAATATAGTGTGCCTGTATAGTCTAGGCAAGGACTGGACCCAAAGTATACAATCTTTAAAATTGCATAATTTAACTGGCCAATTGTACCTGGTAATCATTTATATCTGTCCTACAAATATATAAACTGTAGTTTGTGTGTGTGTGTGAGAGAGAGTGTATTATTGGGGATGCAAGTAGCATCACCTATTATTAAGGTTGCCTGACACTTCCCATTTGAAGACCCCTTTTTCAGTTACTTATAACTTGCCAAACTTTAACTACTTGGGCTGAAGTTTTCCATTCTGGGTGTCTGCTTTAGGCAGGCTTTGTTTTTGTTGTTTTTGGGGAAAGTGGGGTTGGATTTTAGCCAGAGGTTTAGCCATTTCTGAGAATGAGAAATTGAGGGAGAAATTGGGACCGGAGACTGGTGGGGCAGGAAAGGAGGGGGACTGGTATTTGAAAGGGGAGGGAATTGAGACTGGTTGGGCAAGGAGATAGGGGAGGGGGGAAATGGATGGACTGCAATTGGCTGGCAAGGAGACTGCAGCTAGGAGTCAGGGAGGGAAGACTGGGAGCTAGTAGATGGGAGAGGGAAGAAACTAAGATGGGTTGAGGAGTTGAGAGATACTGGGACTGGCTGGATGAGAAGTAGTGGGATGGGGGGAGGAAAAATAATAGTGATCATGTAATTAAAGACTCTCATGATGCATATCCAAATTAAGATAGCACAGGCAACCTTTATTCTGGCGTTTTCTGACTTTCGAGTGCTTGGCTTTATTAAGGTTGCAGTGCCTGTAGTCTATATGATAGATTACAGGAAAGTCACGCTGAACCCTAGAATGTCTGTGGAGTCAGTGTGAAGTGATGGAAACAGTTACAAACATGGCTGAGAGCTCTCTTTGTTTAGAATATCATCAGGTTCAATCATCACTGGAAGTGCTGTCTGTTACTGGCCAGTTTTTAAGTTCTCAGCCATTTTGACTTTACAAAATACACCCATGCTGTGTACAGCTATAGTTAAACATCCATCTATGCCATGCCAAGAGTCCCTAGACAATTGTGATACCACAGATAACCAGTCATCACCTTTACTCTACGTCTAATCTGCATGCAACAGTTTCATTGGTTCTTTGAAGGAGACTGCACGCGGATGGTGAGTTACTTGACCCAACCGTCAGACCCATTCAGCAGCTTGGGGCTTTCAGCTACTTGTGTGTGAGACAAGGATCAATCAGTCTCTCCTCATATGAACTGCTCCATTCCATTAATTATCTTAGCTGTCCTACATTGTCACCTGTTTAACTAGCTTGCATCCATTAAGGTGACCAAAATGAGAGAGCATACTTCAAGTGTTCTCTAACCTTCACCCTGTAAAGCCATGTGCCCTTTGACTTATATACTCCAAGGCCCCAATCTTGCAATAATTTATGCTCATGCTTAGCTTTCCCTTGAAATCAATGGGATTACTCATGGTAGTAAAATTAGGCAAGTGAGTAAGGGTCTGCAGGTTTGGAGCCTTAATACAGCCAGCATCTTATCAGCTTTCTTCTCTGCACGCTGAACTGAGAATTGAATTGTCAGATCTGTCAGTACACCCAGATAAGCTCCTTCTAGCAGTGTTAACTAGTTTTTTGCTGTTTAAACTGTACTGGGACTTAAGCCCCGAAAACTGTTATGCGTGTGTGAGATATTTTACTCACAGCAGTAGCCTCACTAAGTTCAGTTCATTGTGTTTGGCAAAAGAAAATCTATTGACTTATTCCATCCTAAATTTTTGGTGTGCCATAAAACTTGTGTATTTAAATGCTGCATATTTTTTTAAAGTTTTTGTTCAGTTTTTTTAAATAGTGGTAGTGGTGTAAAGAGAGATGAGTGAAGAGTATCCCAGAACATAATCTACTGCTAATTTACAATGAAGGGATGATATTAAATTTACTTACAAAAAAAACCCATTAACCTCTGTTACGTAGGGCATAATGTCTGTGGATTTTATTTGTGTCTTAAATACATAAACAGAATCTGGGTACTTATACAAGTTCATTATTCTGTTGCGTTTCCTCCAACTTAAAACAAAGCCCCCACCCCCCCCCTTTTTTTTTTGTCTCTACTTCTTGAAGCCGTGTTTTGCCTTAAGTGAATAATAATGACCATTTTCTCTGTGCAGTTACCGTTTGTGCGATCCTTCTGAGCGACATCTCTACAAATCCCACCCTTTGTTTGGATGGTATTATGGAATTGATAAAACTGGAACGCTTCAAGTTGGAGACCCTGTGTACAAGATAGTCCATTGATGGAAGATGCATTTTGAGTGGAAAATAATTGTTCATTTTTATATGCAAATGTTTTTTTCTGTGAGCACAGAGCCTGAAATAACTCCTTGATGTTATCTTGAGGTGTAAAGTATACTGTCCTTGATTGTCCACAGATCCTGTGAGGTGCCAAAGTCGTCTTAAATCAGTCAGTCCACTAATGTGCCTTGAGCCCCTAAATCTAAAACTAAATCTTTAGTTTTCCATTAGAGTGTAAACGGCAAGCTGTCAAACACTTAGATCAGATGATAAAGTGATTTTCAGTCTTACACACACACACTTATATTATTGCTATTGTGGAATGAGGCAAGAGGGTGAAACAAGTTGGATGATGATAGCTGAATGTTCCCTTCAAGGTTTGCATATGTTTTAAATTCCTATTTAAATTGTAATGTCTTAAGAAAACCACCCTTGGCACATTTTGATCTCTTGTTACTTTGTTATGGATTGGCAGATAGAGCAAGAAATTCTGAACCAGCAAAAGAGTGGGTTGTGACAAGGCATGAAGTAGGCTAGACTGTTTTGGAGCTTAGATTCTCCGCTTTCTGTAATGAACATTGAAGTGCAGTTCTATTTGAACATTCTTGAATAGCAGCCTAATAAAGTGAAGAATTAGGCTGTTGCTGCCCTGTTATTGACTCAGTTAATGGTACTGGGCAAGCAGTTATCATGCTTGTTGCAAGTAATGCCTGCCTGCTTACCTGTCTCACATTGGTGTTGCCGAGGATTGACTGATTTTTGTAACGTGCTATATAAATGCTAAGTATTATTGTGGCAACATGTATCCCAGCATTAGCCCCTGAAGAACCATAACATTGTGCGTGCACAATGCGGGAAATGATGGCAGGCAGAGGCAGTGGAAGAACAAGTGTCCCCATGGGCAGAATTTGGTGAACCCTATAAAGCTCGTGCTCCTGAGCATAAAGAAGTTGAACAAGATTTAAATCCATTAAAATGACAGTAATTAAAGGTGGGCTTTGGGGGAATCTGGGGTAGATAAGGTCAGATGAATATTTTTAATACAAATGTTTAACTTTTAACTGATAGAAATGTAATTATTTGATTGAAGCAGCTAGGGGAACGAGGTTATATAAACATTGCTAATCAGACAATTCAACAATGGTTTTCTAAAATGATGTACTTAAAACTGTAAAACAGATTTTATCTCTAGAAATAAATATAAATCAAAATATAAACTTCTACAGAGTCCTAACTACTGTTTAATACGATGTGCAATTTGAGGGATTTGTTCTCTTGGCTTTTGCCATTTGATGTTACATCTTACCTATGTTGGTGTTCGGTTATTTCTCTGGTGCTTAATATACCATTTGGTCTGGCAAAAGGCCCTTCCCACTGGTGCCCTATTGCACAGTTAAAGGCTTTGTGCAAGAAGCAGATGCCAAACTCGGCATCCAAGTATCCTTGCATTGCTGTGGAGAAAGGCTTCAGTGCAGAAAAGTCTTCAGATTTCTGATGTGGGGAGAGAATCACCAGGATTTGGTAGCAGCCTGGATCTGTGTGGATATTGCCAAAGAACCATCCTTGAACCTGAAGCTGGCATGTTGATGCAGAACAATCCTTCCAGTACAGGACACATCAGAGCTGAGATACCTTCTTGTTTATCTTGTGCTATGGAGCTAAGAACCAAGACTCAAAGTAGACTAGATCCTGCCCCTGCTGTGGTCCATTTACAATAGTCTAGTAGCACAAGGGGACTGAATGCTGGGTTGGGTGAATCTTTGGTTAGGTTGAGCCAGCTCTGCGCTCCCCGCTCCCCCTGTAATCCTTGGCCCCCTGTGATCCTTGGTGTGCGTGAGGCATTAAATGTGTGGCTTAGGGAAAGGATTTGGCTGGAACACTGTTGCACCCTTGACATCTTTGGCTGTTATAACAGTTCCCTGAGGGCTGTTACTAGCCATGGCAAGTTAGAGCAGCCGTTAAGATCCCTCACATGCATAAAGCATGTACTTAACTTTGCAGGACTGGCCCCTGTTTAAATCATTAATTCTATTCCTTCCTATCTGGCAGTAGTTTGCCAAAGAGAACTCTCAAACAGATTGTGTAACTGTGCTATCAGCATTTACCTCTGAACTTTGTCATAGTAGCTTATTCTTGCCAGAGGGGATGTAATATCTGCTGAGAATTTTAACACAAGCATTCTCAGGTGACAATGGATGTGGTAGCTAATGTGATAACCTTTATTGTGCCAACAAATAAATAATATGAGGTGCTCGGCTTTCTCTCTTCTTCACATCGAAGCAATTCCTACAGAAAAAATGCAGATACTAGAAAATGCCCACAGCCTGTCAAGAGTTAATCACTGATTTTCTCCTCCCTCCCCCACAGAGGTGATGAGTGGGGGCGGGGGTGAATGTTGAGAGCGGAGTGGGATGAGAGGATAGTTTATTGTGTGGCGCGCAGGGTTTTTCTTGATAGAGGCTGAATATGCAGATTTAACCTAAGGGGTAAGATTTGGGGTTATCTTCGATGTTGGGGAAGCACAGGAACAGAATACCGCTGGGTGGGGCTGAGAGGCAGAATTGGCCTGGCTCTGGGGAGTTGGGGAAGGGGAGGGGTGCAGGCATGAGGTGAGGGGGGAAGGGAAACTATGGGACCCCAGACCCACCCCCCTCCCTCAGGTCCAGTTGCCATGAGTGGATCCAGCGGGCCTCAGGGGGTGCTGCTGCCTCAATCCTGACACTAGGTTAATATAGTGATGAGTCTTGGGTGAGGCCTCTATTGTTACTATTTATTGGACACTGCCCTGGCCTGCTCTGTGTCCGGCAGAGCACAGACAGTGAACAGAAAACGGGAGCAGAGGGTTGCAAACATTTTCATAGCTCAGGGACCCACCTGTTCTTATCCTAGGTGCATAACATCCCTATGGCAATTACACAAACTGCCTACAGGGACAAGTAACCTTAGGAAAGTATATTATAGATTGGAAATGGGTTGGGCCAGTGCTATGTGACTAGCAAGTGCAGATCATAGCTCAGGTACGTATGCTTGAGTATCATAAACAACTTTATAAAATATATATATATATATATATATATATATATATATAAACTAACCACTACAAAGAGTAGAAATTGGGGTATGAAGAGCTTACGGCAGGATCAGTGCCACAATTAGCAGTGACAATTGTATACAGTCATATCTTGTATCTGAGCTGTAGTGGAAGCTGTAAAGGGCGGGGGGAACCCCAGAGTATGCACCAGCTATGGTTGTCTCCAGGCTTAACTTCAGGAACCATTGTGATATAGATGTAGAGAGAAATTAGCAGACTAAATACAGATTTATCATCGCCTTTTCTCATATATGTACATCATGTTAAATCTTTTAACAAAACTGTTCTTAACAGTCTGAAGCAAATCTCTGTTAATTGGTCTCCATTTCTTGTATCTATGAAGACTTTTTCTACAAATTCTTCAGCTATCCATAGAGCCGCCCACTGTATTCAAGACCTGAATTTTGAAAACGTTTGTGTTTGTGGGTTGGTATTTATTTTTGGAAGATCTTTTGTATTGAATTTATGTAGAAAACTAAATGGGGTAAACCATTTTTTTGTTTTGTTTGCACATTGCCTTTGATTAACCTGCCTCTTTGAAAGAACAATGTCTCTTTACATAGACAATATGGCTAATTTGTAGTTAGCTGTGTGTTATTTCTAGTTGAGCTGAATTGTAATACAGTCATGGAATCATAGAAATATAGGGCTAGAAGGGACCTTGAGAGATCATCTACTCCAGTACTCTGTGCTGAGGCAGGACCAAGTTGACCTAGACCATCCCTGACAGGTATTTGTCTAGCCTATTTTTAAACACCTCCATTGATAATTCCATAACCTCCCAAGGTAACCTAGTCCAGTGCTTAACTCTCCTTTTATTTAGAAAGTTTTCCATAGTATCTAACATAAATCTTCCTTGCTGCAGATTAAGCCCATTATTTCTTGTCCTACCTTCAGTGGACGAGGAGAACAATTGATCACTGACCTTTGTATAACAGACCATAATATACTTGAAGACTGTTCTCAGGTCCCCTCTCAGTCTTCTTTTCTCAGGACTAACGTGCCCATTTTTCAGAAAAAAAGTCTTATAGGTCAGGTTTTCTGACCCCCTTTCTCATTTTTGGTGCTCTCCTCTGGACTGTCTTCAATTTGTCCATATCTTTCTTAAGGTGGAGCATCCAGAATTGGACACAGTAATTCGCTGAGGCCTCATCAGTGCCAAATAGAATGGGACAATTACCTTACTTATCTTACATGTGACACTCCTGTTGTTAAATCCCAGTGTGATACTTGCCTGTTTAGTAACTGCATTGCATTGTTGACTCATATTCAATGAGTGATCCACTACAGTCCCTACATCCTTTGCAGCAGTACTACTGCCTAGCCAGTTATTCCCCATTTTGTAGTTGTGTGTTTGATTTTTTCCTTCCTAAGCATGGTACTTGGCACTTGCCTTTATTGATTTTCACACCAGTTCTCCAATTTATCAAGGTTGTTTTTAATTCTTATCCTGGCCTTTAAAGTGCTTGCAACACCTCCTAGTTTAGTGTCATCTGCAAATTTTATAAGCATACGCTCCATTCCATTCTTCAAGTCATTAATGAAAATATTGAATAGTCCTGAACCCAGGACCCCACTAGCTATGTCCCTCCCAGTTTGACAGCAAACTATTAATAACTACTCTTTAAATATGGTCTTTCAAACAGTTGTGTAACCTTTTTCTAGTAATTTCATTTAGACCACATTTCCCTAGTTTGCTTATGAGAATGTCATGGGGGACTGTGTCAAAAGCCTTACTAAAATCAAGATATATGATGTCTACTGCTTCCCCCTCCTCCTCCTCTCCCCTCCCCTAAGGTCAGTAACCCTGTCAGAGAAGGAAATCAGGTCTGGAAACTGGGCAATTAAACTGAGATTCCCCATGACAGAGTGTTCCTTGTCCCGCATCTGACCTGGGCCATGGGGGACCCCCACTGCATGTACACCAATCTCTAAGCAAACTGAGTGCTCCTGCCATCTCAGAACAACACTCTCCTAGATCATCTAAGAGGAAGACTCTCTAGGCCTCTCAGAAAGACTCTAAGGGAAGGGGCCCTGGCTCTCCCCATAGCGAACCCACACAAAAAATACCTCAGTCTCCTTGTGAGACAACCATATTGGAGATTTCAAGTTCTCAATCTGGTACCATGGAGCTGCAGGTTCCTCAGATACCAGCAGTGCTGTTAAGTCCCTAGGCCCTAAGGGACTTGGCTCCAGTCAGATGTTGGTACTGATGGGACTTGATTGAGGTGGCAAGGGAAAAAGTCTGCCTCCACTAGATTGGAGACAACCCAATACTCAGTACCTAACAGTGTGGTGCTGCAGAAAACCAAGTGGGCAGTCAGCTCCAGGTGCTCCTTGGAGTGACCAAAACCACTGACAAACCTGTCTACTTAGACTACCACCTTGGTGCTGATGGCTCTACCTGTGCCCCAGAAATTTAGATAAGTCAGAGACCTGACTCCGGTGGCGGTTCCGGATTCTCATTTGCTGGGCATCAACCCCCTATCAGTACCGAGACCCACCCAGTCTCTGGACCCTCACTTATCTCCACTACCAACAGAGTCACCACAGTTTTCTAGTGGTGCTCTATCGACAGAAGATAATGGGGCTTTCTCTTTGGTCCTCCCAAATCTCCATCCATGGCTCTCCTATTCACTGCTTCTGGAACCCTAGGGGAGACGGAAGACAGCTGAGAGAGACATCCTGTCCCAGTGGTATGAATGCCCTTGTATGCCTCCTCCCATCCCACATGGTTCCCTCAATTACTATATTGGGACCCCAAGTGGCGTACCACCAGCAATCCTCTAGAGCCTCTCACCTCGCTTGCCCACATGATAGCAGGTACTGCTTGGTAGTCACCTGAAGTGGAGCACCCATACAGACACTACTAGAAGAAGAAGGGGGGGTACTCACCCTGTGCACTAACCGGAGTTCTTTGAGACTGTCCCTATGGGTGCTCCACTATCCACCCTCTGCTTCAACATTTCCTTTATGGGTCTTTGCCGTGGAGAAGGAACTGAGGGCTCCTATGCTACTCCCCTCACCCAGCTTCACCCAGAATTTACTGTTGGCTGCTGAAAATTCAGATTGTTTTTTTTTCCAAGACGTAACTTGGTTTTCTGTAGCAATATTTGGAAATACTGG